CAGTAACAACAACAACAACAACAACAACAACAACAACAACAACAACAACAACAACAACAACAACAACAACAACAGTTACTATCACGACTACTGTTATTTCTGCCGTTGACCACATTATATACCACCACCATCATCACCACCACCAGAGTGTAACAAAAACGACAGCAACAACAGCTACCACTACTAAAAAAACCCCCACAACAATATCGCAAAGCAGGTATCATGGATATCATCACCACCATCATCATCATCATCATCATCACCATGATCAACATCATCATGATCATCATCATCATCAATTTTCCTACAAGCAAGTTGTATGACAAAGTGAATAGACCACATAATCCAGACATTGTGAGTCTTCTTCTTCTTCCACTACTAGCACCACCACCATCACCACCATCACCACCATCACCACCATCACCACCATCACCACCATCACCACCATTACCACCATCACCACCATCACCACAATCACCTCATCCAATCTTTTAGTCAATCGAAATTTACTCTTCGATACTTTTTCAGGAACATTTTTATGTCACAGGAGCAAAATATTTTGGGTTTTTTTCTCAGTATGTTAAGTTTACATAATTCAGCTTCATTGCGTGTCATAGCATTCTTTGTTTATCTCTTGGATGCATGAAAAAGTGGCTTCTCCTATATCAAAGAGCTACGTTATACTTTATTCTTCCAAGTGTATGCATCTGTCCGTGTTGTAGGTGGAGAGATTTTTCATGTCATGTTTTCCGTACAGAGTATATAGATCTATATTTAGGTTATAGATTGTGCAAACAAAGTAAAACATTACCGGGTCAAAAATACCAGGATCCTGTAGATTGTGAAGTTGTGAAGGTAAGTTTAACAGTAACAGAGAGAAATCATTTTTCATTTGTAGTGTGTATCGACTAAAGAAACCATTGTCGGAATGACCTAAAGTTTATGACAAATCTGTTTCGGATAATATTATAATCCCCACAACCTTTATGGTATCAAAAACAGCAAAGAGATTGAGTCATTATCTCATAAGAAATAAGAAGTATTTAACATTTTAAGGTCAACTGTCAATAGTACTGGGTGTTTTAAAACGAACATCTAGACCATAGACATTTTCGTAAACTTAAAAGGAAAACAAATCAGTAATATACAGCTATAGAGGCCCAAAGCATCATACTTTCTGTTGCAGTCGAGAACATCTTGAAAGAAGAAGCTGCACATTTGATGTTGCCTGTACTTATTTTTTCCCAGCAGAATGAAAGATAGTGGCAGAAAATAAAAGTGAACTATTTTTGTGAAACCAAATCGTTAGAAGTAATAAAAGAGAAATACTCTGAAGTGCTACTTACCGGGTTGTTGATCACTGGGGCATACTGAAACAAAGGAAAATATTATATTGTTATTATACATCATAAAAAGTAGCTAATCTATATTCGCAATGGGCGGATTATTATCAGAAAACCAGGCTTTGCACTTAAATTAAGGGAGTGTACTTTTTTTCCTGATGAATCTACTCGTAGGTATAGTATTATACATGTTGCAGAAAGTGTGACAAATGGGGAATACAATGACGTAAAACTAAACCGAAGACCGTAATATGTACTAAAGATTCAAAAAGCTGTGTAGATAGATAGATAGATAGATAGATAGATAGATAGATAGATAGATAGATAGATAGATAGATAGATAGATAGGTAGATAGATATATAGATAGATAGATATATAGATAGATAGATAGATAGATCGATAGATAGATAGATAGATAGATAGATAGATAGATAGATAGATAGATAGATAGATAGATAGATAGATAGATAGATAGATAGATAGACAGATA